ATCGCAGCTCTTGTTGGCTGTGGATCACCATGCATTAGCATTTGCCTATTAAAATGACAGTTTGTCATGTGTAATGAAATACACACACTGATCACACTTCAGAATGTTTTTCCCATTTTGTGAGATTATATTAGTATGAGAGGTATTTCCCCTACTCAAAAATGAGAAACACCTCTGGAACCCGCAGTCTCTCAAAATGGCATATAGACTACATGGCCATCCTTCTCTGTCACTCTGAGGGAGACTATGCTGCTGCACTGTCATATATCTGTACAGGTGAGTTCAAAAGGGGAAATTAGCTGCACCTAGTGCTTTGAGCAGCAAACAATTAGTAGCTTCTAACCTGCAATCAAGGCAGAGTGGGTAAGTGGTCTAGGAGTCCCAGGACTTCACGCAGGGCAGCAAAGTGTTAGTAGGCTCTAACTTGCATCAGGGGGGTGCAGCTAAGCAATCTATGAGACCCGCCACCCAGGTTAGTGTGAACACCAACAAAGTCTAGAGTTTCCCAGCCAGGAGATGTGGACACTCCCACAAAGGTCCTTCCTGCACTGGTTTAAGCTGTCCCCCCCTTCAAAGAAAGAGCTAAACAGGAGCCCCTTTGTTATTTTAAATGCTCAGTCAGAGCTGAAATCTGTTGTGATAGGGACTGTGTTTCCACCTGGCCTGCTAAGAGATGAAAGCTGAAATCACTCAAGAGGGAGCAGTGTTTCTGCCCGGCTGCAAAGAGCTAAATATTACTAAGAGACTGATGTGCAGAGTTCACAGTAGAGAGGCAGGCGGCACCAGAAGGTGACTGACACCTGGCAAATGTGTGGCTGGTGAGGCAGAGGGGCACAGAAAGTGGTCAGCAGAGCGGTGGCGGTGAGATTCAACAAGCAGCCAGCAGGGTGGCTGGTAGAGAGGAACGGCAAGAATGGTGAGTGAGCACCCATCAAGCAGCACAGCAAGTAAGATGTCCCTTGATCTCCCCTACTCAGGGTGGAAACTGAACTCTGCAGATGCACCTCTGAACTCTAGGTCTCCAATGACCAAGGGCACCAACTGTGAGTAGGGTGCAGAGAAGGGTTGGGCACATGACAGAGACAATTGGGTTGCTGAACTTAAGGACCTGAGGGGAAAAGGACACTGCCTGACCTGTTTTGGGGAGGGTCTTTTACTCATGATTTATGTTGATGAGATCTGTTTGTGCTGTTTTCACAAATTAATGCCAAGTTACTTCCCTCCTTTTATTAAAGGTTTCTTTATTACACCCAGACTCTGCACTTGAGTGTGAAAATGTTGCTTCTCCATGTTGCCCAGGTGTGGCACGTGAATTTTCCAAGTTACTGGGTGGGGGCTGGAGCGGGCTCTGTGTTGGATCACTGGAAAGGAATCCTTAGATATTGAACCCGGACCTGGCTGCTGGCTCCACCTGGCAGAAGGGTTACATTTATGTAAAAATGCAGTAGACACTTTTGTTACTCCTTACCAGCTGAAAAAACAAGCCTGGATTTTTTCTTCTCTAGAGCTGCATTACAGCTCTTAATTATATTATATATGATCATGTTTTGCAATTCATTTTAGACACTCATATTTTTAAAGTATTCAAAATGCATAGGGTTATAAAGAAAATTGCATTATAGCTAGACATACACCAAAACAGTTAAACTGCTTTTCTGTACAGATTGTGCTTTGCTGAGTTTCGCCAGAAGAGGGTATAGTTTGGAACGAGCCTCACATCAGCTTGGAATTCCTATTGTGTTTAGAAACAGCAAAAGAAAAACAAGCACAAGTTTCTCCTCTGCATACTTCCTGTCACTGTGTGAACGAGTCAACATATAAACTCCAGATCTTAAAGTAAAAATAAACACAGAAGCTTTCCTTGAGTCCTTGGAGCTGAAGGCACAAACTGCAACAGCTTTCTGTGGGATCACCCTGCTGATTGTCTTTCAGAAAGAATGATCAATTATTTCACTTTTCATTAATCAGAACAAGGGATTT